TGAAAAAAGCTTTCCACTAAATTTCAAAAATTTCCAAATGTCCAAATTTCGAAAAAATTCGATTCTAGCTTTTAAGTTGCCCTCCAGAATGGCGAAAAATTTGTAGTATGAAGAGAAAAGTGATTTCCTCTGGCAAGAAATTCAGCCATTCTCAATATTTACCTGTAATTCAGCTATCTCAAAGAAAAAAACGCATAAAATTTCAATAATCTATTCTCGCTTAAGTTGCCCTCCCAGAATGACGAAAATTGAAAGTTTAAGAGAAAAAATCACTTTCCCAGCCCGAAATCAACCCATTCTCAATTTGTGCCTTTATAAATCTCCCTTTACCATTCCCTACTAATTTTAGGCCTCTATCGTACCTTAATATGGTCTGCTAAAGTCTTTCCGTACAGCTCTTTGTACTCGTCTTTGATCACTCGCAAATCCACTTCGGGAACGAGTGACCAAGACACGGATTAAGTCGTTGTCACGAGTTCCGAGTCCCCTGAAATGTTTGAGAATTGTTCTAGTGCCAATTTTAGCTGAGACAGCTCTGAGACAGCTCTGAGACAGACAGCTCTCGAGCCAGACAGCTCTGTGGGCTCAGACAGCTCCTGAAAAGCCTGAAGACAGCTCTGAGCCAGACAGCTCTGAGCCAGACAGCTCTGAAACAGCTCTGAGACAGCTCTGAAAGACAGCTCTGAAAGACAGCTCTGAGACAGCTCTGAGACAAGAAAGCCGAGCTTCGATCTGGCTTTGACTTTGAGTCAAGTAAGCAAAACCAGAATCAGATCGGAGAACCGATTTGTGACACTGACCTTCATGGCGTTGTAAAGTTGAACGGCGAAGAATTTCTGCTTGTTTGTGGAGGCTCTGAAAATGTAAGGCGTCCACTAGATTACTAACTTCAATTTACCTTGCAATAGTGAGATACGAGTTGCGGAGATCGCCACTAAACTCTTTCTCAATAGCCTTCTCAATAGAGACACCAGAGAGTTTTTCGAACTCGGCGAACACCTGAAATTGTTGAAGCAGTCAATGGCTGTCAACGATTCAAATAGGCAAACTTTAGCTAGATAACTTTAATCTCAAATCTCACGAATTTTCTTTAGAATCATTTAGAATTCTTTAGAATTACCTTACGAAGCTGGTACTGATTCTGGGTGGCTAAGATTTTCAAGAAGTGCGATGGAGCGTTTTTATCACCGGCCAGTTTTCCTTTTCCGTCAGCGAAGAGGCGCACAGCGTCCTGGCAAAATTGTAGTAGACGTTAATGCTTGAACAATGACTTAGACTTACATCTTTAGCCTGTGAATCATTCGTTTCATGTGATGGATCCTTAGCACCGGTGACTAAAGCAACCAACAAATCGCGAAACTCTCCCGACGTGTCACCAGCGACATCCTGAAATCAATGGTTTAGATATAAGAAAGCAGGATTTATAGAGAAGATAAAGACAGTGAGATCAGCTGTCAGCTCAGAAGTTAGATTCGATCTGGCTTGATCTAGAAGATCTACAAACTCTAGAACCGATTGAACACATTCTTGGAATATCAACAAAAACATTAGAGATCATTAGAGAGAGAAGTTTAGAGGTTTTCTATTTTAGAATTCGAATTAGATTTACTTTCTCCAATTGCTTGTTGTAGTTTTTCTCATAGGCGGCTCGAATGGCTCTCAATTGATCGGCAGTACGCGAGCAAAGGATCTCAATCAAAACCGTTTCATCAGTGCCAAGACCCTAAAACAAATTCTTATCGATCGTGCGTTCTAGATTCCTCTAAAAAAGGGTGATCATTGTGCTGAAGGGGACTGTTGCTCGTTGTGTAAGATTAGGCCAATACATTGCCCGAGAACCAATTCAGATTGCTATTACTTGTTTGATTGCTATTACTTGTTTGATTACTATTACTTGTTTGATTACTTGTTTGATTACTTGTTTAGTTACTTGTTTAATTACTTGTTTAATTACTTGTTTAGTTACTTGTTTAATTACTTGTTTAATTACTTGTTTAGTTACTTGTTTAATTACTTGTTTAATTACTTGTTTATTTGTTTGAGTACTTGTTTAATTACTAAAAGCTTTTATGAAAATAAGAGCTAAGCATTTCCCAAGAGCATTTCCCGTTTCCCAAAAGTTAATTTTGCTAAAATTGACTCAATTTTTCATTTAATTTTGTAGTTTGTTTCGTTTAAAGCAAAGTTTTTTAAAGCGGGATAGTTAGATAAAGATTGGAAAGCAAAAATGAGATAACTGTAGCCAAAAAAAGAAAAACGGAAAAAAAAGAAAGCCGGGTAATTGTTGTTTTTTGATAAACTTCTCTAAAAAATAACCAACCGCTACGGCACCCTGAAAATCAAAAAAAAATTTTTTTTTGATAAAACATGCAAATAGAGATCTGACAAAGAAATCCCCCATTTTCTTTTTTTTTACCTTCATCGATTTCTTCAACTGTTTCACATCGTACTCCAATGGAGTTTCCATGAGGGCGAGCACCGCCTAGAATACAATAGAATAAATAAAATATTAGTTTGATGCATAAGTCTTTTTTTTTTTTTTTTTTTTCGTACTTCTGTTAAAAAGTAACAAATTCACGAATTAATCTATAGTAGTTTGCTCTATAAAAAAAGTGTTTTTTTTGTTCAATTTGCATCTTTTTAAATGAATTTCGGTTGACTTTCAAGCAAATTCGAGAGTGAAAAACGCCTTTTTCGTCAAAAATCTATAAAAAACTCTACGGAAAAATTGGCTGAATGAATTTCGCTGAAATTTTGGCTATACACCTAACTTTTTGTGTTCTATCTTTTATCTATTGACACGAAGATAGGTTTTCTTTAGCTAAGGTGTCTAAACCGCTCAGGCTCAGGCTCAGGCTTAGGCTGAGGCTTAGCCTGAGCCTGAGCCTGAGCCTAAACCGCATCATCGAGTTAGCCCTTTTTGACTACCCGACTTCATACTCTCAAGAAAATCCAGGCATTTCTTTAGCTAAGGTGTCTAAACCGCATCATCGAGTTAGCCCTTTTTGAATACCCGACTTCATACTCTCAAGAAAATCCAGGCATCAAATATTTTTAAACCCGTTTTAATGTTATTTTGCTGAAAAATAATTGCTTTTTCTAATGAAATCAACCGTAGTTTAATTCGTGCATTTGTTGGCTTGAAACGGCGGACGAAAAGGAACGAAAAGACTTATGCATCAACCTAATACAATACAATAAATAAAATAGAATAAATAAACGACCTTAGGCTAAATAAATAATTCGCAATAATTCAAAAATAGTGTGACATCCAGAACTTTCAAAAAAACCCCTCACCGTCTCGATATCTCCAGAGAATTTCTTGTCAAGCGCTTCATCGATTTCCTTTCCGTATTTGAGTTTGTAGGGAGCGCGAAGCTAAAAATAACAGATTCTATGATAATCTGGATATCACAAAAGGGAAATAATCAAAAAAATCTACTTGTTGTCGTTGCGAGTTCGAGATCGAGGTCAACGTGTTGACAATGCCCTCTTTCTCGCCGGCGCGCAGAGCTCGATCGATTTTCTCGGCAAAGCTGAAACGTTGAGAAGATTTTCGATATCTTGAAGGCAATTCTGGAGCTCAGGCATCGTAATGGAGATGTCATTTTTGCAAAAGGATGAATATAAAATTTTAGCCTCGGTTTAGTTACCCAATTCCGTGCCTTGTTGGAATTCCCTGCCTTGCCTTTGCATTTAAATCAAAATTTTGAACGAGGATAGACCCAAACCCTAATCAAGGCCTTATATCCGTATCAAAAGTCTAAACAAATGCCACTCACACGTCAGCCTTGAACTCCGGATTGTCGATGATGGTGCAGTAGCTGTAGTTGGCCATTCTATTTCTGAAATTCAACGAAAAATTGATTTTGAAACATGGAAATCGCAAGCTGGAGCGCACAATCGAAAATGAAGCAAAAAAAGTGGGGGATGGCAAAAGAAAAAGGGAAAGCGGATTTTGACCTGGAAGTCATTGCAGAAAAAGCTCTGTAATCTTTTTGTAAGTCTTAATGTCTTTTTTTTTGACCGGAAACTGTAAATTGGAGGGCACAAGGAGGGAATTTGAAAAGAAAAAAAAAAAAAAGAAAACGAACGAAATCAGCAATATGAATCATTGGGCTGAGTCGAGGACAAAAAAAAAGTCTTTTTTTTTTTTTTTGGGGAAATGTGGGCAAGCAAAATGTGCAAATGAGTAATCATTGCCGAAAAAAGGGAAAATTTTAAACTCTTACTACGTGCTGATAGCCAGATTTACTGAATTTAGGGAAAAATTTCGAAATGAGAACCTGGGGGCAAGCCAGGGTCGTTGAAGTGGCAACGCTACTACCAACTTCTCCATCTTCTCAAAAAACAATGCTCTTGTGAGGAATTTAGCTTACATGCGTTCCAGAACTACTATTTACGATGTTTTTGGGAGGGATTTAGTGAAACTATCGAAAGTTATCGGGGTTTGAGCGAAAAAAAAGTAAGAGCTACCTCGAATCCGTGTACTCATTCTTGTCGTAATTACGAAATGGCTCGATTTTCGATGGATCTGGATGGCACTGCACTGATTGAGACGATTCTCTTCCAAATTTTCCACAAGTTTCACAAAAGCCTCCTAGCAAGCCATCATAGCAGTTCAAACACGAATAGCGAGTCGTTATCGGTAGGGACAAGTCCCGTGACTGTCCAGAACTGTAATGTGGATAGCATTTCGGGGATTCATAGTAAAAATTTGATATTCTTGAATACGGGAATCTCGGAGCTGAGTGGTTTTCAGAAGTCAAAAATTTAGGTGAATGATTTTGATAAAAATTCTTATTCATTGTCTCGTGTGCCTTCCAGGATTCCGGCTGACGAAAATTTGATGGCGGTAAGCTGCGAGAACGGCTGTATTTCTTGTAGATCGAGTTCTCGGTGCCCGACTCGTTCAAATCGACTCTGCCACGAGTTGAGTAGAAAGCAGGAATTGTGGGAGTCCTACCGTAATCCTCATTATAATAGCCAGGACAGTAAACGGGCCGGTTACTGTACCTATAGGTGAGCTCTTCAGGGTTATAGGGCTGTCGATAGTAAGTTTCGTAGCTTGTATCGAAATTTGGTCGGATCGGTCTTGAATCATAGATTCGGCTCTCCTGCGTTCCAGAACGACGATCAACGTTGAAGAATTGAGAATCCGGGGCAGGACGAGGTGTCCAAGAGCTCGAATAGGGATCAGGAGCTATTCGTGTGCTATTTGGCCTCCAATTGTTTGGATAATCGATGTACGACGTATCCTGGAGGTCATGTTCGGCAAATCGACGATCAGTTCCAGAAAGTAAACGGTTTTTTCGGGGACTACTCGTTTTTCGATAGTACTCGACCTCTTCATAGTACTCTGTAGTGGAAAATTTCGAGGCAGACATGGGATTTTCGATTTTATTTGAGCTGAATAGCACTGGGGGAAGCTAGGAGCGTTTCGAGACGGTTAAATTTATATTTTATATTTCAAAAAACTCTTATTCACTCAAGCCGATTCAATAGAAAAAAAAAGGAAAAAAAATTTAAAAAGGATTGAAATTGAAAAATGACTAACGCAAATGTTTTCGTGCTTTCCATAATTTTCAAATATGCAAAGGTTATGGTTTTCAATTCACAAGAAATTGCGAAAATTTGGGGAAAATTCAAAATTTCTCTTTTGAGCCAATTATACTGAAGTGGGATGCGCTCTTTTCAAAGCAAAAATGGCTGAAAAGAAAAAAAATTTGAAAAACTTTTGAAAGAGCCAATTATCCGTATTGAATGGACAGATAAAACAGCAAAGAGGAAAGTTTTTCGATTTTGAAAGGAAAATAACGATTGAATGGAAAGATATTAAAATTTCATTAAATAAAATTTGCAATCTGGAAGTCACAGTAGTAAATAAATCAAAAAAATTAAAAAAAGAAGACTTTTTTGTAACTGCATGGATGGCCGAGTGGTTAGCGAGTTTGGTAACGAGTAGGAGCCGGGCCGGGCAAGGGGTCGGGTTCGATCCCGGGCAAGGAAAATATTTTGGAAAATTGGAAAAAATTGGGAAAAAAATGCGTAGAATGTTTTTGAATCAATGTAATGGAGGATAAGGATTGTTTTCTAGTGAGAAAACGGCTTTCCAAAGGGTCATTCGAAGAGAATTTATGTAAAAGAAGGGATAGATGGGAACAGAAAAAGGGGACTCGACTCGACTCGTCTCCACCAGGATTCTTCAAGAAAAAGAACCGGTGGAAAGACTTAGAAGAAAGAGATAAAAGATAGAAATAAGAAAAAAAACCCCGGGAAAATAATAGGACGAAAGGAAATGTGAAAATGATTCATCAAGGTTTAGAAATGAATCAAAAATGATGAGAAATTTCAATCCACTCAATTTGGAACAAATTTTTTGAAAGAGCCATTATTATTATTAGCCATTATTATTAGCCATTATCCGTATTGAATGAACAAATAAAACAGCAAAAAAGGAAAGTTTTTCGATTTTGAAAGGAAAATAACGATTGAATGGAAAGATATTAAAATTTCATTAAATAAAATTTGCAATCTGGAAGTCACAGTAGTAAATAAATCAAAAAAAATTAAAAAAAGAAGACTTTTTTGTAACTGCATGGATGGCCGAGTGGTTAGCGAGTTTGGTAACGAGTAGGAGCCGGGCCGGGCAAGGGGTCGGGTTCGATCCCGGTCAAGGGAAATATTCCAAAAAAATTGGAAAAAGATGTGTAGAATGTTTTTGAATCAATTTAATGGAAGGTAAGGACTAGTTGGCTAGTAAGAAAACGGCTTTCCAAAGGGTCATTTGAGTGGAATTTATGTAAAAGAAGGGGTAGAGGCAAACAGGAAAAGGGGACTCGTCTCCGCTAGGATTCTTCAAGAAAAAAAAACGGTTGAAGAGAGTGAAAAGGAAGAGATAAAAGATAGAAATACGAAAAAAAAACCCCGGGAAATAATAGGACGAAAGGAAATGTGAAAATGATTCATCAAGGCTTCGAATTAATCAAATTTCACAGAAATTTCCCAATCTTGTCAATTCAGAACAAGTTTTAATTAAAAAAGAAAAAAAATAATTAAAGTTTTGTTAATTCTGGAGGTCACAACAAATATTGAATGAAAAAATATTTGAAAAGGTTTACTAAAAATTTGACTAAATGGTAGTGATAATGGTTTCCAAAAAAGTGGCTTCTGTTCAATTCTGGTCAATGCAAAATTTAGCCAATGATTTTTGAGAGTAAAAAAACGCTGTCTATGCTTTCCAGGATCGGCAAAAAGGATGAGTGAAAAGAGATAAAAGTGAAAGAGAGCTGGGAAAGAGGCGGGCATCGCATCAACGCATTTCGGCACTCCTTTTCCTTTTTTTTCCACTCATGGTCACTCTCACAAACATTCTATTGCTTTTTCAGTGAAAAAGTTTCTTTGCTAGGCTTTGCGGGGGGTGAAAGAGTTCTAGAAAGAGAGAAAGAGTTCTAGAAAGAGTTCTAGAAAGGTTCTTGAGTCTAAAGTGCTCCCCTCCCCCTCCCCGAATCGAGCAGAGTCTCATTTTGAGATTTTGTCGTTTTTTTTTCACAAACAAATCTCTTTTTGCGTTCCAGATGGTCTTCCAATAAAAAAAGAAATATTGGATCAAGAGAATTTCGTCGACAAAAAGCGCTCGCTATATTTTGGAAAGAGGGCTGACGTTGTGAAACGCACAGCAAAAGCGATATTGATGTTTTGATGAGAAAATATGAAGATCTGGAAAACAAATAGCTGTTTACAATTGTTGTTTACAATTGCTGTTTACAATTGCTGTTTACAATTGCTGTTTACAATTGCTGTTTACAATTGCTGTTTACAATTGCTCATCAAGATTAAAAAGAGGAGTAAAGGACAAGATAACAAGTGTTTCGAAACGATTAAAATATTTCCATTCATACAGGAGATTTTTTTTTGTTTATTTGAGTCGAGAACAAGTGAAACTTTGAGAAAACAATAAATTGCGATAAATTTGAATTTGAAGTCGACCGTTTTACGACTAAGCTTTGTGTTCCTGTAAAACACACTCTCTGTAAATGTTTGAGAATTTAAGCTTTGCTGATCTAATGTTTTAAAAAAGAAATCTACCGATTTACCGATTCTGGAGCGCACAAAAGATTTTGGCTGAAGAAGAAATAAGCGCCGATTTTAGTGGAAAGATTTTCGAATAAATGATCGAAGGAAACTGTTTGACTCTTTCTCATCGGGATGAGGCCATTATTGACATTCTTCTATTCAATTCTATTTCTTTTCATTTCTTTTCTTTTCATTTCATTTCTTTTCATTTCTTTTCTTTTCATTTCATTTCTTTTCATTCAATCAAAGGTGACAAACAAATAGGTGAAGGATAAGAGGAGAGAAAGATATTGAAAAGAGAGGGGATTCTATTTTTTTGCTTAATGCTGGCTGTCTGTAATATTAACCAAGAACCAAGCCAAGCAAGAGCGGAAACTTTGATCATTTCTGTACTCTGTGAATTCCAGAATCAACAAAACTTCTTTTAAAGTAGGACTAGGCTGGCTGAGGAAATGGAGGAAATGGCTGGCTGAGGAAATGGAGCTGATAGGCTCAGCTGATAGGCTCAGTTGATAGGCTCAGTTGATAGGCTCAGCAGCTTATAAGATTTGAGAAATGTAAGCTAGTTGCTTTTAAAGGACAACGATGAGTATACTGATGTCCAGATTGGCAAATGTTGTTGTTATTTTGGGAGAATTGAGGCATCAGAGACAAAGTGCACATTCCGAAAGGATGAGTCGATTTGATGGGGGAAAGAGAAGCGAGAAGCGAGAAGAGTCAAGCGGGAAAACAAATAAACACTTTCAACTGGTATGTGAGAAAAGAATGAATAATAGAGATGATAAATCGAGTAAAGAAAACTTGAGAATTTCTCTATTGACTCATTGGCGCAAGACTTTGAGAAGAAAATGCACAAAAAATGACAGGATTTGAAATTATTTAATTGTTCGCTGAAAATTATGGGATACAACTCAAATATTGACAATATTAGAAACAGAATTTGAATGTTTTTGTTTGAAAGCTCAGGGTTATGGAATTGAACAGGACTAGCCGAATTTAATTTGCTACAAGCTAGCAGATCCTATTTTAAGTTAATATTTGGAAACTATGGATGTCAGGACAATGATTGAAACTGAAATTTTCCCTAGTATATCAAAAGTTGATAAATATTTTTGTGTGGTGGAGGAGAAGAGTGTCGCTGAGTAAAGCTCTCCTCGTTTTTTCGTACAAAAATGATAAGAGAGGGAACTGAGGCTCTAAGTCGTGCCATTTCTGCTTTTTTTTCACGTCAAATAACAGCTTTCTTTCCATTGAAAGACAACCAAAATCTGAAGGCTTTGTGGTTTCAAGTGGGCGAATGGAGTTGACAGAAATCAGGAATTTCAGAAAGAAATTTGTGTAGAATTTCTGTTATTTCGAAAAGCTGGATGTCACAGGGGAAATTAAGAGAAAATTTGAGAGCGAATTTTGAAGGAAAAAAATTGGATCTGACCATTGTAGGGTTAAGATTTGGGACTGGGTGAAAAACTTGCGATTGATTTGGAAATCGGTGCTGATTTTGGTTTATTTCGAAAAGCTGGATGTCACAGGGGAAATTAAGAGAAAATTTGAGAGCGAATTTTGAAGGAAAAAAATTGGGTCTGGCCATTGTAAGGTTGAGATTTAGGACTGGGTGAAAAACTTGCGATTGATTTGGAAATCGGTGCTGATTTTGGTTTATTTCGAAAAGCTGGATGTCACAAGAGTCTTTTGTGGTTTGTTTGCTTGAAAAGAATAAAAAAGAAAAATAATCGAGAGATTCCCCAGTCGATCACTGGGAATCTCCGAAAAATCGCTGAAAAATGGCAACTATTGACATATTTCCTTTTGACACACCCCGTATTTATTGGCAATTTTGGCAAAAAAAAGAAAACAAATAGTCTTGGGGAAAGTTTTTTGGAGAAATTTTAGACGAAAAAAAGTTTAATTGGCTGATCGTTTTTTTGGAAAAATGTAAGAAATCAAAGTTTTTTAAAAAATAAAATAAAGATTCCGAAAAGAATTTCGTTTTAAAAGATGTACTGATATCCAATTTGAGTGAATTTAAGCGAATCACAGGGAAATGATTGAAAATTTTGGGGGTGGGACAAATGCGACCTTTTTTTTGCGCACCTGGACCTTTGCGCACCTTTTTTTTTGCTGGAAAAGGCCTTAGGAAAGGTTGTAGAGCTTCAAAAATGTTTTCATAGGGAATCGTATGCGTAGATTCCGAATTTCGACAAATCAGACCTCGCTGACACGTCAAATTTGGGCTAAAAGGGAAAAACTACGCAACTTAACGCTTTTCCGCAGTTTTTCCCTTTTAGCCCAAATTTGACGTGTCAGCGAGGTCTGATTTGTCGAGATTCGGAATCTACGCATAGGATTCCCTTATATGGAAATATTTTCGAAGCTCTATGGCCTTGCCTAAGGCTTTTTCCAGCAAAAAAAAAAGGTGCGCAAATGTCCAGGTGCGCAAAAAAAAAAGGTCGCATTTGTCCCAACCCCAAAATTTTTGTTTTTTATAGCATTGAAAACGTTTCGACACTTCGATTTCAATGAAAAGAATGGATAATTGAGTCACAAAAGTCTTTTCTCGGTCAAATTTCGAATTTCTGAGTCATCCTTCTTGAAAATTTGAAGAAATTTGGGATGAGTGTTGAGACTGCTGTCGGGCGACTCATCAAGAACGGCTGAGTAACTGGAGAAACATTTGCCCGACTGAAAATCGAAAAAAAATAAAGTAATCATTAAAGGTTTTTAAAAAAATGTGAATCCTGGATGTCACTGTTGAAAATTTAAATGAGAAATTCTTGATATTTCGCTTTTAAATTTTAAAAACTTTGTTGTTGATTAAATTTTTGCGAAAATGCGACGTTCGATTGACACAGCAAAGCAAATAGAGAATTTTTGTGAGAGCTGAATTCGTAAAAAATTCACAAATCCACTTGGAACGCCTCTAAAACGGAAAGCAAACAAATAAGATGTTGATGTGGGGGAGAGGGAGGGGGAGAGCGGTGCAGCGCGGTGCAGAGTTGAAGACTACAGCTTTATAGTGCTTTTCTTTCATTAGAATTTTGAGATTTCAGCAGAATTGGTCGATCTGGATGTCAGGCAAGTGATCCAGATCAATTACGTTGCGAAATGGTGGATATTGCTGTCATGGAGGGTCGAGTTGAAGACTGCAGCCTTCCAACGCTAGCCTTTCATTGGAATCTTGAGATTTCAGCAGAATTGGTCGATCTGGATGTCAGGCAAGTGATCCAGATCAATTACGTTGCGAAATGGTGGATATTGCTGTCATGGAGGGTCGAGTGGAAGACTGCAGCCTTGCAATGCTAGCCTTTCATTAGAACTTTCACATTTTAGTCGATTTCGTCAATCTGGATTTCAGGCAAGCTATTTGGCTAGTTTACATTAGAAAATAGCGTAAAATAGATGTGCTGTCATACTGTAGTCTGAACTTTCATCAAAAGAAAATTTTTTATCCGAAAAATGAGTATCAAAAAAAGGTTTACCAAAAATGATAAGTTCACAGAACCCGTAGGAAAAAGAAAACTGCACAAAATGGATTAGCTTTAGCTACAGTCAAGATATATACAATATTAATAAAAGAAAGTTTTGAAAAATTAAACCGGTTGATTTTCCAGAGATTTCTTCGCCACAATCTCCTCAGCGATTGTTTTTTTCAAATCGGCTTGAGAAGGTAAAAATGGAAAATAGCTGAGGAAAGGGAAACGATTGAAGATCCTGAAAAGGGACAATCAGTTGTTGGACAATCAGTTGAGCTGAGCTGAGCCTTAAGACTCAGCTCTGAGCTGAATCTTTAGACTTTTAGACTAAAAGTCTTATATCTGAATTTGGTTCCTTATCTCTCTAAATCTGGTTCCTTATCTCTAAATCTGGTTCCTTATCTCTAAATTTGATTCTTTATCTCTAAATCTGGTTCCTTATCTCTCTAAATCTGATTCCTTTTCTCTAAATCTGATTCCTTATCTCTAAATTTGATTCTTTATCTCTAAATCTGATTCCTTTTCTCTAAATCTGGTTCCTTATCTCTCTTAAGCCTTAAGGCTCAGCTCTGAGTTGAATCTTTAGACTTTTAGACTAAAAGCCTAAGTTACAGGTTATTTTTGAAATTGAGCCAGTAAGGTGCAAGCCCTTTTCTATCTAACTATTGTCAACTTTCAATCAAAAGAAGTGCTCAGTCTGTTTTATTTTAACTTAGCATAATCTTGGGAATTTACTATTATTATTTGTCATTTTTTCTCATACAATTACTAGAAATGTCTTTTTTAAAAAGCTAACCGATTGATAAAAGGTGGGAAAGCATAACCGTCTTCTTCCAATGGCACCATTGCATGCTTTTCACCAGCTGGCGGGAAACCACGTTGAAATTTGGTAACACCTGTAAAGAATGCTGATTGCTGATGAGCTTTCAAATAAATGCTGAATTGGGTAAACACTATTCAGAATTGAGTAATCACTGTTCAGAATTGGGTAATCACTATTCAGAATTGGGTAATCACTATTCAGAATTGGGTAATCACTGTTCAGAATTGAGTAATCACTGTTCAGAATTGAGTAATCACTATTCAGAATTGGGTAATCACTGTTCAGAATTGGATAATCACTATTCAGAATTGGGTAATCACTATTCAGAATTGAGTAATCACTGTTCAGAATTGAGTAATCACTATTCAGAATTGGATAATCACTATTCAGAATTGGGTAATCACTGTTCAGAATTGGGTAATCACTATTCAGAATTGGGTAAACACTGTTCAGAATTGAGTAATCACTATTCAGAATTGGGTAATCACTATTCAGAATTGGGTAATCACTATTCAGAATTGGGTAATCACTATTCAGCTAAACCCCACCGGGCACTGTGTTATCCAAAATGAAAGCGATTAGTCCACCGATTAGCATTCGAATTGAGAGCATTGTGATCAGAACTTGATCGACTGTTGCATTGCCTGAAAAAAGGATGTTGTTGTTGATAAAGTTATTGATAAAGTTATTGATAAAGTTGTTGGTAAAGTTGTTGATAAAGTTATTGAGAAGTTATTGATAAAGTTATTGAAAACTTGATGCAAGTTATTACCAGTTTTTGGAGGATGCTTCTCAAAATAATCGGGAATTGCTAAACCGGATAATAGAGATAATCCAAGGACGGCCACATTTCTTGAGAGTTGCATGTTCACTGTCTAAACTTGGTTCAGTTTTTCAGCAATAGTAGAGTACGATTGTCCTTACGCACCCTCAAATTGCTTATTGATACGCCCATAATCATCGCCATTCCAATGCCGAGCAATCCGCCAACAATTGCATCCGGAACTGAAGCTAGAACAGCAGCCACTAAAAATTTTAATCATTTTTGATCATTCTAACTTCTTCTATATTCTGTGCTATTTACAGGTTTACAATGAAATGAAAGAGATGAAAGGAGTAGTTGGCTCTCTCAGATCAGCTCTCAGATCAGCTCTCAGATCAGCTCTCAGATCAGCTCTCAGATCAGCTCTCAGATCAGCTCTCAGATCAGCTCTCAGATCAGATCTCGGATCAGCTCTCAGATCAGCTCTCAGCTCTGCTCTCAGATCAGCTCTCAGATCAGCTCTCAGATCAGCTCTCAGATCAGCTCTCAGCTCTGCTCTCAGATCAGATCTCAGATCAGCTCTCAGATCAGCTCTCAGATCAGATCTCAGATCATTTCTAGTCAAGCCTACCTTTCGTAAAGAGTCCGATGATGATGCAAAGTATCCCTGCCACTTGCATTGTTGCTCGTGAAGCTACCTATAGTTTTTGATGATGACCTTGAACAAACTGAAAGCTAAAACAAGTGAACAATGAGCACTGACTCTAGTGATATGCATCAATGCAATATTCTCAGCATACGTTGTCACCCCAGCACCGATCCCCATCGCTCCAGCCAAAATCGAGCCAAGACCTGAAATTTTGTACTGATTGTGAAGTGTGACATCCAGATTGAATAAAAAACGGCATTACAAATTCTTCAGAACTAGTTAAACTCGTTTCTTACCTTCAATCATGATTCCTCGATTCACAGCGGCTCCTGGAGGATGGCGCTGCTGAGAGACCTGGAAAAGAGGGGTGAGGGTAGCCCTAGAATTGATTGGTTAGCGAAATTTTAGCTATAATCTAATAAATCTTCACTCACTTTTGCCACCATCTCGTAGTCGCCAAGGTTCTCTAGTAAACACGCGAAAGCTGAGGCGAGGAAACCGCACAGAAGTGATGCGTCGATGCCAGGACGACCGAATTGTCCTAAATGAAGCTGGGAGTTTCATTGGTATAGCCCTAGCCTTAAACCGAGTTCTAAAGCAAGCCTTGACTTGGTCTGACCCTAACTGAACCAGATCTGGATTTGATTGAACCAGCCGAAACTCAAAACAAGTCCAATTTGAACTAGAATGGTTAGCCCAAGTCAGCGAGGGTAAATTTAGAAAGAATACACATTTTGTGGCCATTTTTTGGGTTTTCTAGGTCAAAGCCAAAGCCAGAGACAAAGCCAAAGCCAGAGACAAAGCCAAAGCCAAAGCTAGAGACAAAGCCAAAGCCAAAGCCAGAGACAAAGCCAAAGCCAAAGCCAGGGCCAGAGACAAAGCCAAAGCCAAAGCCAGTGCCAAAGCCAGTGCCAAAGCCAGAGTCAGGATTAGCTTCTCTTTTCACCTGGATACGGTATATGAAACCATGGAGCATTCGAGATCACTTCAACCGTTTGATTTTTATCCGTTCGTGCTTCACCTGGAGAAGCATAGAATTTGTAAAGCCGAAAATTCTCTCACCCTCTGGTGGCTCAAAATTGGTGACGGTGAGAATCCAGCAAAGAAACCACACCATTAGCAAAGACATTAGATACTAAAATGCATTAAACAACAAGTTTTTTTTTTTCAAATTCTCAACTCACTGGAAACATTCCGAAGATTCTAGCTCTTGTAAATTGAATTTTCCGCTTTCTGATCGAGAAATATGGGATCGGGACAGCGTATGGCTCGAGGATGACCGCGAGGAGGATAACGACGAAGAATTCGCTGAAACTGGTTGTCATAAAGACAAGATAGCTCAAGCTAGACTAGGTCTAGATCTATAGAAAGCTTTGGCCAAGTCTGGGATTGATTTATCCCAACAGGATTGCTTCAAAAGGCAATCTGTTAGAGTTGGTCAGCCAGATCCTGTCAGAGTTAGCCAGCTAGATCCTGTCAGAGTTGGCCAGCTAGATCCTGCTAGAGTTAGCCAACTAGATCCTGCTAGAGTTAGCCAACTAGATTCTGCTAGAGTTGGCCAACTAGATTCTGCTAGAGTTGGCCAACTAGATCCTGTCAGAGTTAGCCAGTTAGATCCTGTTAGGGTTAGCCAGCTAGATCCTGGTCAGCTTGGTCCAGATTATCCAACGGATCAGAGCTGACCGGGCAAGGGTCAGATTTTGGTGACTCATTGTCTAAAACTGACACAAGCGAGACCCAGTGGAGACTCATCTTTTCGATTAGGGTTGGCACAGTGCCAATCTCTAACAATACCATTAACGGAGCGATGCAGAGTGGGCCAACCTAGAAAGGTTTTCATTGTTGGTTTCTGTAGCTGATGATAGCTACCATTCTCGATATTTTCCCCACCAATCCCGATGCGCCTAATAGAAAGAGGCAAGACGAAGAGATCAGCAACGAGCCTTCCATCTGAAAGTTTTAAAAACTACAAGTCATCAGCCATTTCTCAACTAACGGCTCTAATTCGGCTCATCCAGAAATCCTCAGGCGCCTGATCGGTTCTAGAGTACGGGCAAGTGTTCTCTGGCAATGATTTGTAGACTGATAGTGCTGGGATAAAGGCAAACGATGGACCGTGTAGGATTGATAGACTAAAGCGTTCAGTGAGTTGAATCTTGATCGTTCATCCAGCCTAAGTCTAAGCTTTAATCAATTACCGTAGCCCGAAAGTCGTTTGCATCAACGTGGCCACTCCAGAGGCGACAAAAGTCGATGAGATCAGTTGCACTCTGAATGCTGGATGTCACTACAGAGCTCTAGCTAGAATTAGCCTAGTTACCGTAATCCCAAGTAAAATACAGTCATTACCGTAACCCCAAGTGAGACAGCCATTACCGTAACCCCAAGTGAAATACAGCCATTACCGTAACTCCAAGTGAGACAGCCATTACCGTAACCTCAAGTGAAATACAGTCATTACCGTAATCCCAAGTCAGATACAGTTACCGTAATCCTCACCTTAACTCGATCGTTTTGTCGCCAGCACATGCAATATCTGAGACTAAAAACGGTAAAACTAACATCCCAGAGATGCACAACAACATTTGCTGAAAGAGATTTTATTTGAATCTTTGAAAATTCTTCAAATCCCACCTGACAACCAAACAATAGCATTCCTTTTGCATCCGGTACATCATTCACTGCTAAATGCAATGGTGGGGCACAAGTTTCTGAAAAAAATGAACTTAAACCAGCAATTAGTCCGCTCACCAGAGTCCGCATCAATCCCTGACACTTTCTTCACTCCACCATCGAAACTTGACGTCGTGCTTGGATCTGGTGTCGATTTCTCGCCACTTTGCCCCTTTTCAAAGCTCATTTCTTTGCTTTTTGGAAATCCTGGAACACACTACAATGTTTACAAAAGAAAAATGAGATAAAACTTTGAAAATAGAAAAATTAAAAATTAAATAGGTAAGACTGGGCCTTAAAGACTGGATCTTAAAGACTGGGCGTTAAAGACTGGGCCTTAAAGACTGGGCGTTAAAGACTGGGCCTTAAAGACTGGGCGTTAAAGACTGGGCCTTAAAGACTGGATCTTAAAGACTGGGCGTTAAAGACTGGGCCTTAAAGACTGGGCCTTAAAGACTGGGCCTTAAAGACTGGGCGTTAAAGACTGGGCCTTAAAGACTGAGCGTTAAAGACTGGGCCTTAAAGACTGAGCGTTAAAGACTGGGCGTTAAAGACTGGGCGTTAAAGACTGTAAGTCTGGACTCAATTAATTAGCTGAAAGAGTTGCATGACTTCCAGAATAAGCATTAACAAGTCTGGAAGTAAGAAAAAGTCAGTGCTAAGCAAGATACGGCCGAGTCAACTCAGCACCAAAATAAAACTTTCACTAGCTGGGAAATGAAGCCAGACAGGTAAACTGCATTCCAGCAAACCATCAAAAATCATCGAAAATAATGGGAAGCGTTTAGAAATCGGCAGTTTTCAACGGGAAAACATAGTAACATTGTGTACACAAAAGATCAGCAAATAAACACCAAAAATTCTTTTGATATTTAGAGAAAATCTTATCAAAAGAATGGGTTTTCGTGTACTTTTTTTTTTTTTCATTTTATTCAGCTAAGATCATGCGAAAATATTATTGATGATGAGAGATAGGCAGGCGGTTCGTCATTATCGCTTGATCGGTGGTGAGACGAAAATAGGCACTCGCAAAAACAACACCGGGTAATTTGGGAAACTCTCGACAAAACCGGTATCGGTCTTTCATGTGTCTGCCAGGGAAACCAAAATGAGCATTGGATTACTTTGAATAGTGAAAGGATGGCTGGTAAAGCGTCAAAGTCCATTCCTGCAAACAACCATGACTCTAACCTTTGGCCTTCTGGCTACAAAAAGTTTCCAGAAAACTTATGTACCTGCCAGGAAGGCCAAAACAAGCATTGGACTACTTTGAATAGTGACCGGGTAGCTGGTAGAGCCTCAAAGTTCATTCCTGCAAACAACCATGACTCTAACCTTTGGCCTTCTGGCTACAGAAAATCTCCAGAAAACCCATGTGCCTTCCAGGAAAGCCAAAACAAGCATTGGACTACTTTGAATAGTGACAGGGTAGCTGGTAAAGCGTCAAAAAGTCCATGGCTGCCACCAAGTCTGACTCTGACCTTTCGCCTTCTTTGACCGCCTTCTCTGACTCTGACCTAAAAACAAAAAGTTTCCAGAAAACTTATGTGCATCCCAGGAAAGCCGAAACGAGTTGTGGATTGATTTGAATGGAAATTGTAACCGTATTACGGGCGGGTGTAAGTTTTCCCGGAGAGCGCCTTCTAGAAAACAGTCTAGTATATTTCTCGAAGAATCTACTCCCGCAAAACATTGATCATTTATGAGAGAAATCAAAAAGATATGGGAAAAATAGGTAAATACTCGGTGATCATCACGAAATCAATTCGAGTGATCGACAAAAGAAAAAGAGAATCGAAAAATTTGATAGAAAGTGCAAAAAGAGAAATGTTCAAAAAGAAATGTTCACAAATTTCTTTCTTTTTTTATCAATTTCATTAAAAACACGTATTGTGATATCCAGATAGACTAAAAAGAAAGAAAAATCTAATAAATAGTTTAACAGAAAGGAAAGAAAGTCAAGCTATGAGATGTGAGTACTTGAAACTTACTTTTACTCATTAAAATTCAAAATTCTCAATTTGTGATATCCAGATAGACTAAGAAGAAAGAAGAATCTAATAAAAAGTTTAACAGAAAGAAAAGAAACCCAAGCTGTGAGACGTGAGTACTTGAAACTCAGATTAAAATTCAAAATTCTTAAATTGTGTTATCCAGATAGACTAAAAAGAAAGAAAAATCTAATAAAAAGTTTAACAGAAAGGAAAGAAAGTCAAGCTATGAGATGTGAGTACTTGAAACTTACTTTTACTCATTAAAATTCAAAATTCTCAATTTGTGATATCCAGATAGACTAAGAAGAAAGAAACACCTAATAAAAAGTTTAACAGAAAGAAAAGAAACCCAAGCTGTGAGACGTGAGTACTTGAAACTTACTTTTACTCATTAAAATTCAAAATTCTCAATTTGTGATATCCAGATAGACTAAGAAGAAAGAAACACCTAATAAAAAGTTTAATAGAAAGAAAAGAAAGCCAAACTAAGGTGAGTACTTGAAACTTACTTTTACTCATTAAAACTCAAAATTCTCAAATTGTAATTAACTTTCAATAGTGTGCTATCCAGATAGATCAAAAATTCGATCAAAATCGAAATTTCTCAAAAAATGGTGGCTAACTTTTCTCAGCTACTGTTTTCTGATTCTTCCCCCCAGTCGTTTCCTCTTTATATCCTTGAAAAGCTTACCGTAATCTTCATTAATTCCGCAAAGCGTCTGAAAAGTTTTCTGTGACACTGTTTTCAGAAAAATACGTGCCGAATGAAAAGTTCGGGATGACAATGGGCATTTCGTAAACAACAAATTCGAGTAGTCGAAAAATACAAAAAAATCGATCAGCAAAGCCGTCCATTCTCCAAATTGCTACCCATATTTGTGAAAAACGCAAAAATTTTTTGATTTCAATCGATGTCTAAGCCTTTGTTTTGCGGCAGTCCTCTTTTCGATGAGCACAAATTTTTCAAACAATAGAAGGAAATGGTCATTGATGCTAGGAATGGGATCGCGGCGCTCAATGCTTGCCATGAAACTTAAAATAACAAAATTGAGAGATTGTGCCTTTTCGTCGAGGCTTAGGGAGAAGCGGGAGAAGCGATTCTGCATTCTGGACAAAGTATCAATAAAAAGCCAAACTGAAAGTCAGAGCGAAAGCCAAACCCAAAGCCAAATCCAAAGCCAAACCGACGCCAAACCCAAAGCCAAACCGAAGCCAGACCCAAAGCCAAAGCCAAACTCAAAGCCAAACCGAACCCAACCCAAAGCCAAATCCAAAGCCAAACCGACGCCAAACCCAAAGCCAAACCGAAGCCAGACCCAAAGCCAAAGCCAAACTCAAAGCCAAACCGAACCCAACCCAAAGCCAAATCCAAAGCCAAACCGACTCCAAACCCAAAGCCAAACCGAAGCCAGACCCAAAGCCAGACCCAAAGCCAAACCCAAACCCAAAGACAAACCGAAAGCCAAACCGAAGCCAAATCCGAAGCCAAACCCAAACCCAAAGCCAGACCCAAAACCAGACCCAAAGCCAAACCGAAGCCGAACCCAAACCCAAACCCAAACCAAAAGCCAGACCAGGTCTAGTGTGTCCTTGATCAATCTGATATACTATAGAAGACGAAAGTCTGAGATTTACAACCTTAAAAAGACATTTGAAATATTTTGCCAGCCCCTGAATATGATTGAGCCTAGAGATCAATCTCCAAATATCAAATTCCCAATTACCTTCCAAAAAGTGATTCAACACGTGGGTGTCTCGAGTGCTATCCAGCTAGAACTTTGCTGTGAATGAACTTCTCAATCGCCGTCTTCGCGGCTCCGATTTCACCCCGATCGTTTACGAGACTTGTTCAAGAGCTTTTCCCTTACAAATTGCTCTTTATTTTGAGTTTTTTTTTGCAAATCATGGAGGTCAATTGAGGCTTTGAAAGTGTTTGCTTTGGTTTTCTAAAGATTTAAAAAAAAAATTTGTTGTTAACTGGCTTTTAGCCTTTGACTAGCTGGCAACAACAACAAAATCGTTTTGACTTTTTGACACCACACAAAGTTCTTTGGCTCTGGCACTTATGTGTTCACAACACAAAGTTCTTTGGCTCTGGCACTAAAAGGTAGTCAGGTTAAAATCTGATTTAACCTGATTGCTTTTTAGGCTTTGACTAGCTGGCAACAACAAGAAAATCAATGAGATAGGATACCAATTGACCAATTCAATCTTTAGATATGCAAATCGAGAGGCTTTCCATGGGAAGAGAGAAGCCGGAAAGTAATTAGCACCCCAGCATCTTGATTGGAGGGGTGAAAGGAAAGAGAAAATGAGACGAGTTCTAAATGTCAAAGATAGAGCATCTAATTTTGCTGATATTTTGTATTTCGCTTAGTTGGAAAGCACAAGAAATCCTGTTGCTATCGGATTTTATCGATAGCTGATTTCGTTTCCGATGTCGACGACTTGCGTAACTAAACCGGGTAACTGAGAAGGCCCCAAGCACTCAATTTCAATAATCTTTTGTATTTCGCTTAGTTGGAGTGCACAAGAAACCCAGTTGCTATTGGATTTTATCGATAGTCGATTTCTTTTTTTCGATGTGGATGACTTGGGTAACTGAACCGAGTCACTGAGAAGGTCCCAAACACTCAATTCCAATAATCTTTTGTATTTCGCTTAGTTGGAAGGCACAAGAAACTTTGTTGCTATCAGATTTTATCGATAGTCGATTTCTTTTTTTTCGATGTGCGTAACTAAACCGGGTAACTACGAAGGCCCCAAACACTCAATTCCAATAATCTTTTGTATTTCGCTTAGTTGGAAGGCACAAGAAACTTTGTTGTAAACAGTTTTGATTTCGGAAACGATTTGGGTAATTGAACCAACACATAAATTGAATGTACGCCTTTTTTTTTATAGCTCTAAGTCAGCTCCAACAAACAGTTGCTTTTCCTTGGCTGCACTTTTTCGTTTTCCGGTTGATTTTCCCCCACTTTCCATTGCCCTAAAGCTTGTCACCACACAAAATTGACATGCCGATCACGCTTTCCCTCTCATTTCCCCCACTTTTTCTCGCCTCACCTTTGCAAAAACCAGACGGACCTGAAAAAGTTTCTAAAATGAATTTTAAACAAAAATTTGAAAGTCTCATGCTTTATCATGGATGTCATGCTTTACTTTAAACAATTGTTCAATGCAAATTTTTGAG